TTAATTATCTTTTGCAAATTCAACTACCAAACGATAGAAGTTGACTACCAAACATAGTACTAATCAAACACCATCAAACGACCACCAAACGATAGCAAAAGGAATTTTTGAAAAATATATATTCGGGGAATGCACTCGTGAAGTTGGCATTTAAAACTTAAAATTACTATAACTTTTTTTTATTAGACTACCAAACGTCCAAACTTGACTACCAATCACCACCAAACGATTCCATATAATAAAACCTATTTTCTTTACACTTGGTGTGCCAACTTCACGGTGCTCAATTTGGCCATTCCCAATTTTCACTACACAATAACTTTTTATCCAATTTGGAAAATACGCGGCACTTAAAAAAAGAACAATTTTAGAGCGAGTATTCCTCTATCCCTCTTCTGAATTGATAGAAATGTTTTATTTCTAAATATAATTTAAATAAATGAGACACGAATAGGCAACACGTGGTTAAGAATTAAATTAAAAGTTTATTATAAGAGATCGTCAATTAAGAAAATAACAATTAAGGTACAATTTAAACTGAGTCTAGTTCACTTTCAAGTCTCTCAGGTATTGATCTAGTAAACGCCACTCGGGCAACACACAAAGAATTACAAACTGACCAAATTCCATGCATCAGTAAAACGTTCGACGCTCGATCACAGACCAATTCTATCTGCCTTTCCGCCGCTCTAGCAGCCTCTCACACACATACACAGCCTTGCTGCCAACTTACAACTAGGGATTAACCCAACATCTTAAAAGACACTAGATTGAACTTTAACCAAATATAACAGAATTATTATTATCTGTAACATCATCTTCATGAAAAAGTTTTAATAGAGTTTTCTATTGTTCTCGCCGAGCACAATTCTGCACAACATTCGATATTTCAAATTTTTGCATTTCAAATAATTTCAAAAAAAATATCGAATTCAAAAGCTTTAATATTTTTGAGAAAATATCAACTTTACGGAAAAGTTTTATTAGAGTTTTCTTTTGTGCTTGCCGATCACAATTTAGCACAACATTCGATATTTCAAATTTTTGAATTTTGAATAATTTCCCAAAAAATATCCAATTTAAATGTATAATTTTTTTGGAAAAATATCAACTTTATAGAAAAGTTTTATTATAGTTTTCTATTGTGCTCACAGAGCATAATTCAGTAGAATATTTGATTTTTGAAATTTTTAAATTTTGAATAATTTCCAAAAAAATATCCAATTCAAAAAGTATAATTTATTTTGAAAAATATCATCTTTATGAAAAAGTTTCATTAGAGTTTTCTATTGTGCTCGCCGTGCACATTCGATATTTCAAATTTTTGAATTTTGAATAATTTCCAAAAAAATATCTAATTCAAAAAATATAACTTTTTTGGTAAAATATAACCTTTATAAAAAAGTTTTATTAGAGTTTTATTTTGCGCTTGCTGAGACTTTAATAAAAAATTTTTCATATATTTGATATTTTTCCAAAAATTATACTTTTGACTTGGATATATTTTCATAAATTAATCGAAATTCAAAATTTTGAATAAGTTAAAGTTTTGCTAAATTGTTCTCGGCAAGCACAATAGAAAACTCTAATAAAAATTTTTCATAAAGTTGATATTTTTCCAAAAAAATTATACTTTTGACTAGGATATTTTTTTTGAAAATTATTCGAAATTCAAAATTATAAAAAAGTACCAAAAGTTGTGCTGAATTGTTCTCGGCGAGCACAATAGAAAACTAATAAAACTTTTTCATAAAGGTTATATTTTTCCTAAAAAATTATACATTTAAATTGGATATTTTTTGGGAAATTATTCAAAAATTTGAAATATCGAATGTTGTGCTAAATTGTGCACGGCGAGCACAATAGAAAAGTCTAATATTATAGACATTAAATTAGTGGATAGACATTAAATTAGTGTTAAAATGAAGGCTATACAGAAAAAAATTTTTAGACGAGAACGAGCTATTTAGGAATTATTATTATTATTATAGAATAATAATCTTTGTATTCATTCCTTCATTCATTCACATTTTTTTAGTACTTGAATTTTCTCATTATTATTAGATTATATATACATATATATCTTTACTTTGATAATTAGTGTTCTCGAAGGTTTCTACCTGAAATTTGTTTTGTCAAAACAGCTTTCGGTTGAGGGTTCGTAAGATGGTCGATGACCTTTTAAATACTGTCCTGAAAGGTGAAGTTGTGTCCCCCACTTTACCAGCCCGGTTCGAACAATCACCATGTGGTTATATGTACTGGAGAATAAAAAGCAAGAAGAAAATTTTGGTGCCATTTACAACACATCATGTAGGTTTATTGAATTTAACTAAAATTATAAAACTTTTGAATATTAACATTTATTATTATTGGAGCAATATATGCTCGTAATCGTGAACTTCTGAGGAAAACGAATATATCAAAATAAATTAAACAATGTTTATATTTAAAAAATTTATAATTTTTTTGAAAAACTCATTAAGCGTCATAAAATAATATTGTCATGAAGCCCGAGAACGCCGCACAGGCTCATCGCTGTAATTGACTTACTCGAGGTCTGAATCCGGGACAGGCCGATAGAGTGAAGGTATACCACTTCCCTTTACAGGACCCAATCCGTGATAGCTCGATTCGTCCAAACAGCCTTGGGTTGAGGAAAAAATTTTTTATTATTGTATATGTGATATAGATGATAACCGTTTAATTCCTATGAGTGGAAGTGGTGTATCCATACTTAACTTACCAACACCTATCCCGAGGACGCCACTCAGGCCTACCGTAATATGCTCCTCATGCGAGAACTTAATATAGGCTCGGGTTGGTAGAGTGGGGATATAACAGTTCTCCTCAATGGAGTGAAACGGCTACTAATCATTATCGAAAATAATATACTGTGAAAAAAGATTAAACAACGCTAATTCACGTTCATATAAGACTATCATTGTTGCATTCGTTAGCTTAATTATAGTTAATGATATATTTTATAGGTGAAACACATGTAAGTAAATTTTTTAAAGCAATAAACTAAAATAAACGATTTGTTTTGAAAATTGGCTTTATCGGCAGTTTAAAAGTTGAAGAAGGATACCATTTCAAACATAAAAGAGTATTTTATTTTAAGTAATGAAGATTTTAAAATTATTGAAAATGTAAATGAAATGTTAAATTATATGCATATGTATAAATTTCAAGAATTATTAAAAAATGATTCAAATTCTTTTTTCATTACACTGGCACACAAAAAAAAAAGTTGTCTGTTTCTTGAACTAGACATATATTTCCTATAGTATTTTGGGCCGCTGAAACCGAATCGGAGCTCAGAATTGCTCCATCACCCTCAGTTTTTTTTAAATCGACCAAAACCACCCTTAAACAGACAAATTCACACTTCGGAGATAAAAAATAAATCAACTTATTTTTTTAAAAAACCTAATTTTACATCTACGAAACTTTGCTCCACTAACTCAAAAACAAAGCCAGCATTGATCCAGCACCCCCTGAATTTTTTTAATCGAAAAAACTACCCCTAATCGGAAGAATCAAATTCAGGAGATAAAACAACAAAATAACTGATTGACAAATTTTATAACCAGATATTTTTACTCCAGCAATGCGGAAACAAAGCCAGAAATGCTCCCTCACCCTCTAAAATTTTTTTAAATCGAAAAAACCACTCTTAATCGGACAAATTCAAATTTAGGAGATTAAAAATTAAATAACTGACTTTTTTAAAATAGAACCTTACTACATCTATTTATTTCCGCTCCACTAACTCAAAAACAAAGCCAGCATTGATCCATCAACCTCTAAATTTTTTTAAATAGAAAAAACTACCTTTAATCTGAAGAATCAAACTTAGGAGGTAATACAATATAATTATATTGTGTTACCTCCTAAATTTGATTCTTTGGTGGTTTTTTCGATTTAAAAAAATTTTAGATGGGAAGGGAGCATTTCTGGCTTTATTTCCGCATTGCTGGAGTAAAAATATCTGGTTATAAAATTTGTCAATCAGTTATTTTGTTGTTTTATCTCCTGAATTTGATTCTTCAGATTAGGGGTAGTTTTTTCGATTTAAAAAAATTCAGAGGGTGATGGATCAATGCTGGCTTTATTTTTTTGAGTTAGTAGAGCAAAACTGCATACATCTAAGGTTCTGTTTTTTAAAAAAGCCGGTAATATAATATGTTTTTACTTCTTAAATTTAAATTTTTTTATTAAAGGGTGGTTTTTCGATTTAAAAAAATTTAGAGGGTGAGGGAGCATTTCTGGCTTTGTTTCTGCATTGCTGGAGTAAAAATATCTGGTTATAAAATTTGTCAATTTGTTTTGGTCGATTTAAAAAAAAGCTGAGGGTGATGGAGCAATTCTGAGCTCAGATTCAGTGTCAGCGGTCCAAAATACTATAAGAAATATATGTCTAGTTCAAGAAACAGACAACTTTTTTTTTGTGTGCCTGTGTTATGCAAAGTACTTTGTATTTAAAATGCTCGATTTAATTGTTCCAATTACAGAAAGAGATGAACATATTCAGATAGTTTTTAGCTGTAATAACAATTCTGGTCATTGGATTTGTGTTTATTACGATGTAGTAAGACTTTATATTTTTGAAAGTCTTAATGCAGGGTATTTGAATGTTCTTCCAAGTAGAATATTTAATTAGATTGTTCCTTTTTTAACCAACAGTAGTTTTTGAAGCTCTTGATCAACATCCGATTGGTACGGTTCCCCGACATTTTTCCGAAAACAATTTTCCGAACCACAAATTCCGAATATGTTTATTTTCCGAACGGCTTCTCTTCCGAATTTGGTTTTCCGAATGCATTTATCCGAAGAGCGATTTCCGAAAATTAATTTTTCCGAACAGTTATATTTTCCGATTTCAATTTTTTAAATAAAAGAGCAATAACAGTTGACTTCAGTTTATTTGACAACCTTAAAATTCATGTCTTCAAAATTTTTCGTGTGTGAATCTTAAGTTTAAATTAAATTAAATTATGTCCGAACCGAATCCTGCTCCAACAATTGTAGGCAAACAACTAATATTGGACGGGTATATTTATTATAAAAATAAAATTAACAAAAATCGGTATCATTGGGAATGTCGAAAATTGAGGTTGAAAGAATGTACAGCGCGTGCTATCAGGACTTACGAGGGAGGAAAAATAGTTGTTATCAAAGGTCCTGAAAAATCTCCTCATTCTCATCCACCAAATCGTGAAGAGGCAGAAGCGGAAACTTTGAAAACTGCAATCAAAAGGCATGCTGAAGTTCATCCGGAAGTTCCACCTGCACAAATAATTCGACGGGAATTGGCTGGTGTTTCTTCTGGAATCCTAAGCCAATTAACTGAACGGGAAAATCTTAAAAAGTCAATGTGCCGACAACGCCAACGGAATATGCCACCTAACCCTACTTCAATGGATGATTTAGAAGAAATTCCTGAGAGATTTCGCACGACCTTGTCAGGTAAAATCTTGAAGTGATGTGACTTTAATAATTCGAAATTTTTATACATTTGAAACTCGTACAGGTGATAATTTTCTGATCTATGATTCTCGTGACAATAACGAAATTTAGAGCTTCTCGCTGCAAGTCCTATCTGGTTTTTAGATGGCACTTTTAAGGTTAGCACATTTTGTTAAAATGAATTTAAAAATATTTTCGAAAAAGTACCAAATTTAATTTTCATTAGGTTTGCCCACGAATTTTCACTCAAGTTTTTACAATTTTGGGTGTAATTGAGAAAAATCGACTTCCCGGAGAAGAACCTCATGTCATACCTATTTCTTTTGTTTACGCACTTTTATCGTCTAAATCAACAAATGAATACGAACTCGTCTTACGAGCTGTTCTATCCGCATATCAAAGATATTCTATACCATGTATGCCGCACAAAATTATGATGGACTTCGAGAAAGCAATTATTAATGCTTGTGAAAATGTTTTTCCTGGTGTACCTATGTCACTTTGCTTTTTTCATCTCGGACAATCTCTTTATCGAAAAATTCCAAATGAAGGACTACAAAAAAGATACAATGATGCCACAGATCGCGAATTGAAAATTTTTACCCACATGATTTTAGCACTAGCATTTATACCACCTACTGATGTTGAAAATGCATTTCGACTTCTTTCTGATGAAGTACCGGAGGATTTATTGCCCATTATTGATTATTTTGAGGAATACTACATTGTTGGACGTCGCGCAAGAGGTCGTCGTACGGCTGTGCCTCCTCGTTATCCTGTACCTTTATGGAATCAATTCCAAGCGACTTTGAACGGCAGTCACAAAACGAATAATATAAGTGAAGGCGGGCACAATCAATTACACTGGAGTCTCCCAAGAGAGGACTTCTGAAGAGAGGACTAAGTAATGACGCGGCGCGGTAAGAAATGAGGGGGGAAGAGATGGGCGGGATCAGAAAGAGGAACGTGAACTCAGGAGCGTTTGTTTTTAGTGTACCTTCCTCGCGTAGTATTTTACATATGTAATAGAATGTATTCTGTTAAAAAAACACATCTCTGTGATACGATATACGGCCCTGGAGTGTTTACAATTTTCGGCGTCAAGGACGAATTCCGTAGAGAGGTCCAAGACTCTTCCTGTCCTCTCTTCGGAGACTCTAGTGTACTCTTGGATATGACGAATATAACAATAGAAACCGTATTCTAGAATATTTAAGAGCTCTGGCTCATAACATTGTCATTAGTTAATGACTTCGATTTTTTCTAATTTCGGAAACAATAATATTCGGAAATCAGTCTTTCGGAAACCAGTCAATTCGGAAAAACATTAATTCGGAAAATTGTTTTCGGAAAAATGACCGTGAATCGATTGGTACAGTTAAGTGTGAAGTATATGAAATAGTATTTGCAACATCTGTATTGGTTAACAGTGTAAATTAAAACATTAATTTATGAAACTGATGATAATATAATGAGCAAGCATTTAATATAATTTTTTGAAAACAATGATTTAATCATTTTCTGGCAGTTAGAATGTCTAATATTAGGATTTCGATTTGTAGAGAATGATGGGAATAGTCTTTTCATAAATCGAGCTAAAGAACTTCAAAATGGTGGACTAAACCTTTCATATTTTTGTAAGACTTTAGCCAGTAAAAATGACAACAGAGTTCTGTCTACTGAACCTGAGAATGAAAAGAAAATACCCAAAGAAAAACATTTGTCATGTAAGATAATGAAATTATCTACAGAAATTGAAGAGGGATTTACATGTTGATGTAAATTCAGTATGTACAACAGAAAATAATAAGAAAATAATTTCTAGTCTTATTGTTAGAGAAAAATTGTTATTCCATGACATATCCTACAATGTTTCCTTATGGTGATCCTGGATGGACTGTTAACCTTCCGATCAAAAATGAAAAAATCACAACATTTTTAAAAATTTTGAATTTTAATTTTTTCAAAAAAAATTTTTTCAATCTCATATTTTTATACCTTAGTAAAATACTAACATTTTTTCTCTTTGATATTTTTCAATTAAAATTAAATTGAAAAAGTTAAAGGGCTTCAAATATCAAACAGCAGCAAAAAATTCGAAATTATTGTTAGAAACCAAATTATATTGAAAGAAAATAAATTTAGTTTAGAAAATGGACCTACTCTCATCCCAAAGCACTCAAAAAATATGATAAAACTAAAAAAAGCTAAATTCCTTAAAAAATGACTGTATATACAGTCGATTTTGACTTTTTTCTAATTCCAGTGAATCTCCTTGTTTGAGACCTCCCGATGCCAAAAAAATAGGTTTTGAAAACTTTTCCGTCTGTCTGTAGTCTGTCTGTAGACACTTTTTTGTCCCCACGATAACTTGAACAAATCTTAACGAATCGCTTTGAAATTTGGTACACTCTTTCAACATGTAAAAATGAAGCATGAGTTCATTGGACAGACTAATCCGCCCAAAAATTCAAAAATTATTCAAGTTTTGAATTTTCAAAAAATTAAATTTTTCTCAAATTTGAAAAAAAAATTTTATTTATCCCTTAAAATACTCATAAAAGTAGAATTTTTTTTAAAACTCTTTTCGATAGAGATTAAAACAAAAAAGTTATTTAAATTTTGAATTTTGAAAAAAATTCAAATTTTTTAAGTTTTCTTTTTTTTAATTTTCTACTATTTTTCCCTGAAAATACAAATCGAATATATATTTTACCGACTTAGATACTTAGTAGAATAACATCTGAGTAACATAAAATCAAAATCATTTCAAATTTTTTTTTTTTAAGTCCAGCCATTTATTTCCACTTCTTAGCGTAAAAAGAATTTTTAATTTTTTAATAAATTTTTATGATTAGAGTTAGTTATATTGTTTTGTATGTATCATTTGGGTTCTATAAAATTTAAGGTAATAAAAGTTTAAAATTATTTTCGATGTGTTATTTTACTCATTAATTTTTTTTCAGCACAGTTTTAACCTAAAAATTCTAAAAAAATCTTTTTTTAACGCTTGTAAATTGTTTATTTAAAAATTTTCGGTTCTTTTAGTTCGACATTTGATAGAGCCTCAAAGTACCTGTAAAAATTTCGTTAATGGGTTAATGTACGCCTACTTTTCCTATTGTATGTTTCTAGTTTTCGAGCGTGAAACGCGAGTGCCGTGATGAGAATTTTATAAAAACTAAAAATTTTACTTATATCAATTGTACAAAAAAATTTTTAGGAATAAAAACATGAGGGCGAAACCTCATATCATAAATTTGTTGCTTTAGAAATGCATTTACTTTCAAGTTCTTTTTTTAATGTTTTTAAATTTTTAATTAATTTTTTCTTTCACTCAATTGAAATCAGTTCGAAGCGGAATAACTTACTTTATTAAAATAAAGTGGTTTGTCGATTTTCTTTAATTATAAAGACCTGGGTAATCCACGGCGCAAAATTAAGGAACTAAGTTTGAAAAGCTACAGTGCCGCCAAATTTTTCTTCAAAATTTAGTTAAATCAACTACAAAGTCTGAAACAACGACAAAATCTCATTCTACTAAATGGTTTCTTGGGTCACTCAACTACTTTCTGGTAGTATAATTAATACAATTTTTAAATTTAATTAAGAAATTTTTGAATTATACAGTGTAGTTAAAAAGCAATTAATGCTACTTGGTTTTGAATAATAATAAACAAACGGAGCGGGTAGCGCGACGCTTGGACAATGCGTGCAAAACGCGCACCAATATCAAACCGCGAAGCGAGACGATCATCTTTCGCGCGCCCCAGGGCGCACTCAAACTAGCGAGCGAAGCGAGCCCTTACGCGCGAAGCGCGTGGCGAGAATTTGGCTGCCCCCGTAGGGGGCTGCCGGGTTTTTTACCAATATTTTATGGTGAGCTTAAATAAATAATTATGAAAGATTAAAACAACCAAGATTTTCTTTCAGGATTGTATGCTAGGACAAAAAAGAAGATATTCCGAACAAAAATCAAAAACATTCATCGAGCCCTTTTTGAGAAATTTAATTTTTTCTTTAAAATCGCGTAATTTATAGCTTTAAAATATTTTATTGTAAATAATTATCAGAGAAATGCAAGGAATATATACAGTACCGTTGGAAACTGTCGGTACGCCTGACGTGAGAGGAGTGAAAATTTGATGCTGACTTTAAAGCAAGATATTTTAAGTTAGAAATAAGATAGAGACTTGTAACTTAGATGCTTGGAAAGCTTATAAAATTCTGTGTTTGAATGTAAATCAAAAAAAAAAATTCTTTTTTTAGCATTTACAAAACGGAAAAGATTTCATGAAAAAATTATTCAATTTTTCTAATTTAGTACTAATGTTTTTGACTCCCGGCATAATCTAAAATAATGTATGGAAAAAATTGACGCTTCGAGGTTGTAGAAAAACATGCTTGAACATTTTTTAACGTATGTCAAGAACTACAAAATATTTTTTAAGTTTTTAAATTTTTAACACCATGTTTAAGTTCTTAGCTGTAAATTGCTTCTTTGAAAACTTTAAAAAAATTTTTTTGTACTTAAAACATGTTAAAAAATGTTCAAACATGTTTTTCTACAACCCCGCAGCGTGGCGGCCAAAAGTGATGATCGACGGCTGAGTTCTAGAAAAACATGTTCGGACCTTTTTTAACATATTTCAAGATCCGCAAATCACTTTTTAAGTTTTTTTAGTGCAAATTATAGCTAAGACCTTCAAAATTACGTTGTTAAATTTATAAAGTAAAGTTATAAATAATTATTAAATTAATTTGAAATAATAATAATTGAATATTTAACATTAGAAAATTTAAATGTGTGTGTTGTGTATGTTGTTGGTGTATAATTGACAACATATTTGTAATATTAATTAACAAATATTATTTTTAACAAATAATATTTAACAAAAAAAATTAAAAATTTACGGAATTCCGTCCGTAACATGAAGGATTTTTTATAAAACACTAACTGAACATTAAAGTCCGTAAATTTATGTTAAAAGATGTGTGCATCTGAATATGACTGTTAACGATTGTAACATAGTTACATATTTAAAAATGATTAAATTTAGGGGAGTGTTGTGCCTTGTGGGGAGTCGTGCTCCTCCTTAATTTTTTACTAAGGAAATTATTATGATAAATTTCAACTATTGGCATATTCTTGTCTCGTTAAGAACTAACTTTTTAAGTGGTACTTCTCATCATTGGAAATATTTTTCGTGTCTTTCCAAATAGTGAATTAAAATTTTTTCTGAAAGTTGTTTTGTCTCTTTATGTTTAGATCATTTCCACTAATTTTTTCAAAGTGATCACAATATTTAATGCATAAAAATTATCTGTCAGTAATAACTTTTCGACGTACAAAAAAATGTGTATGAACATTTGATGTATTAATTATTCTATGACTATTTTGAAAATGTAGAAAATGGGGAGTTGTGCTCCAGCGTTTTTATTTCGCATTATTTATAAATAATTAGAATGTTTTATGAAATTTAAATATTGTTCTTTAGTAAAATAAGACCCCTTTCATCTGTATTCAATGTAAATGAAATTATTTACCTATTTTAAATTATTTACTTTAAAATAATTAGATTTTATCTAAATTATCTAAAATTAATTTTTTATTATCGTATCTATTACTTTATAAAATATTTTAATTTTAAATAAATATTATTCTAAAAAATATGTTTTTTCTTCAATTTTTAACGGTGGAGCACAACGTTTTAAATTTTAATTAATCGATCATGCTGAAAGTTGTTTTTACGTGTAATATTAAAGGAAGGTTTTTTTGCAACTATGCAAAAAGAAATTCTTTTTTTTGCATTAGCAGTACGAAGTTTTAAAGCCTGCAGGTGTGTTGAAGTAATATTTAATATCTCATATCCTTTTTTAAATCTTGGTGCA